CTTTCAGTATTCTCTGTCTTGCTCTTGGAATTTTAATTATGATTTGTCTTGGTGTGGTCCTCTTTGGATTCCTTTTGTTTGGAGTTCTGTGCGCTTCCTGGACTTGTAAGTCTAATTCTTTCACCAGGTGGGGGAAGTTTTCTGTCACTATTTCTTTCAGTATGTTTTTGATATCTTGCTCTCTCTCATCTTCTGGGACCCTCATAATTCTGATGTTGGTTCGCTTGAATTTGTCCCAGAGATTTCTTACATTATCTTCAATTTTCTGGATTCTCTTGCCTTCTAGCTTCTGTGGAGGAGTGTCTTCTGGTTCTTTATGTTCCAATTCTTTGACTTGATTCTTGCGATCTTCCATTGTTTTTAGGACTCTGTATAATATTTTTTATTTCAGACAATGTATTCTTTATTTCTTGTTGATCCCTTATGATTTCTTATTGATTCCTTATTAATTTCATATCCTCATAGGTCGTATCCATCTTTTTTAGGAAATTCTTGAAAAACCTTATAAGCGTAGATTTAAACTCTATATCCAGTCGCTTTTTGTCCATCATTTCTTTCATTTGTGATCTATTTCATCTCTGCATTTTCACAGCTTCCCTGATGGGGTGGGGTTTCACAGTGGAGCCTACAGCTTTGGCTTCCATCAGCCCTGCCCTATGCGGCTCCTGAGTCTCACGGTCCTTCAGTACTTGTTGCAAGCGCCTCTGAGAAAAAGGTGCCCTCAATTTTCGCCTGCTACCAAACAGTGTAGGCTCTCCCCCAATGAGCCCAGTACTGGGGTTCAGTTCAGTTGGAAGTGGAGTTGGAGGTGGCGTTCAGAGCAGTCTGGAGCCACTGTCTCCTTCCCACCAGGCAATCCCGCGGCACAGCCAACCGTCCCTTCTCTGCACACAATGTGTGCGTCTGCCTCCGGGACCTCCTTTCGCTGCTCCCCCGGGGTTCCGCCTTACAGCCCAGCTCCCTCTGTTTGAGCCTGGGTCCCCGGGGTCTGGCCTAGAACTGGGGTTCAGAGCAGTCAGAACTGGGGCCCAGCACAGTCGGAGCTTTTTTCTCCTTCCCGTTAGGGAACGCCAGTCAGGCACTCAGCCTCCCTCCTCTCCGGCTCCATCCTCTCCGCGTGCCGTGTGTCTCCATACTTTAGGCTCTTACAGCTCCTCCGCTCTTCCTTCTGGCTTTCTCCTTGCTTCTCGTTGTAGAATTTCCAGTCAGTTGACTTTCCTGTAGTTCTGGGTAATGTCCATTTTATGTTTTAGTTGTATTTTATTGAAATTGTTGTGTGCGGCTGCGGCTAGGTGTTTACCTGTGCAGCCATCTTGGATTTTAACAGCCATATTTTCTTAGTAAATCTGTTCCTAGTTCACATAATACAATTCAGTATGTAAACATTTTAATGTGTACCTAAACAAACATGAATTTTGATCTGTTGTTCCTAAATATGTTTGAGAACGACTAACTACATCAATGTCTGACTGAAACTATCTTTGGGGTTCATGCTAAAGAAACATTTTCAGATACATCATTAAGGAAGGTTCTAAGGTAAGACTATCAAACTGTATTTTAAAATGAAAAAAAAAATTTTATGGCAAAATTCCAGTATAGTTGTCACTAATGTCCCCATTTTTTCTTGAATACTTAGCATGTAGTTTAAATATGTTGATATTAAGGATTTTTTAATTTGTATGTATTGCAATTTTGGAAAACTCTGCAATATATTTTCAGGCAGTTATCTTTAAAATAATGAAACTTGAACTCTTAGCACAAACAGCCCTGAGAACAATGCATTCAAATTACAGCTCAACTAGAAATAATCTAATTGAGAAACCTTAAAACTACAAAAACAAATTCTGAAAAAGTCGTAAATAAAAAAAACAACAACACAAAACAACATTTGAGGCACTACCATACTACAGTACTTTTAAGAATTGGAAAAGACTTTGTTAAAAAAAAGCAAACATACAAAGCTGTGTGACATGCACACACATTGTGCTATAATGAAACACTGTGTCCAATTTTATAGACTAAACATTTTATTGCAGCATCTGTTAATGATATATCATGCTCTGGCTGCAGCAGAGTTTTGGTAACTGTTTACAAAGCATTGGTAAGGAATTTTATATTATCAGTGGAAACTGATTCAAGAGCTTGTTTAGCAACAATTTCAAGTGACTGGCAGCCCTTGGAAGGGAGCAGGAAAGAAACACCATAATTATATTATGATGCCAATGCTAAGTCAAAGATTTGATCTATTTCAGAGGGTATACAACATTATAGCAAATAAGGTATAACAAAGTCTTCACAGTACAAATAAAATGTTCTAGAAAGAAACACATATTCCACTTAATATAATGTTGTATATCAGCGATCTTCAGTCAAAGTGTTGTAAGACCTTTTAAAATATGCAATACTTGACTATTTGGTCAGGGGCACTGACCACTTTTCCCTTAGATTGTCAAATGAAAAAAATGACAACAGCCAACACAATAGTTGTCAGTTGTGAATGAATCAAAATTATACTTTTTTTAAAACCAGGTCAGCAAAAATATATTTTTTGGTGTGCTGCAGAATTTTAGTAATTAGTTTGTGTACCACGAGATGATACAAGGTTGAAAATTGCTGTTGTGTATAAACTGGTGAAATGCCTTAAGACAAACATGGTGCATCACTATATAACCTTACCAACATGACATTCTACATTTCATACATGGTACTTGTGATATTTATCATTTGCTGAAAACAAGTACAACAAATACTAGGAATCAACTTTTAACACTCTGATGTCAAAAAAGAATGAAGTCATTTCTGTTTTATGTTAAAAAATGTTTCCTTGCTTCTTTTTAATACAATTTACAAAGTGTTACTAAATGAAATATCTTGTTCTAGAGAAACATATTGACTTATGTGAAAATAAACAGTCCCATATCTTTAAAATCTACACTTAAATGTCAGAAAAGTATTTACACTTCTTTATAAGTACTTAAATGAATTATGTGTGCATAAATAGCTTTTGCCATTCAAAGTATGAAGATAGAGATGCATTATTATAATTTACATATACTTATCTTGCAATTGAAAACATATTTATGTGAAGTTTGACAAGTTAGGAAAAACAAAGGCATGCTGACCCAGAATTATAATACAAACCAGAACACTAGTATGGTTAACTGGGGTCATATGCATGACCAGCAAGCAGCACAGCTGGATAACTTTCTAGAATTCCTGTGGGTAATAATGCTAACCAGTAGCAAATAAGATACACATTATAAAATACTAAAAAATGAGAGCAGCATGTAGTAGATACTGAAATGGAATATTGGAAAGAATAGTCTAATTCATAATTGTGCTTTAGATGGGCAAAAGTTAAAATGCTGCACTAAAAATGATTAATTTGCAACCTCAATATTTCTTGTGCTTTATAATTCTCTTTGCATTCTATAAAGTATCTTGCTTCTTCTCCAAATGGGTTAGCTGAGGCTAACACAAGGTTTAAAAGTATGAGCAAATTAAGCAACTAAAATTTTGGGATCTTCTGTTTTTAATGCGATTCCCAGCCACTGATTAAATTAGTTGCAGCATCACATATTTTCTTCTAGATGATAGGAATAAAAGCCTTGTATAAGTCAAGGCATGATAGGAGAGGTCTCATATTCAGTCACAGAGAATGGAAGTGTTCTGAAACAGTAATTTTGTTCTGGGTTTCACTCCAAAATAATGGTTACTGCGTCAAAGGTCCTCACAAACCCTATGACAATGTTCAGAATTCTGAAAATAAGGTGTATGTGAACAGAAATGTAGCAGTCACCTAAAACACTTTTTAAAATAATTCAGTTTTACAGAATTTCTTCCTAGTTATATTTCACATGAGTAACTGAATTAAGTCATGTGACAATCAGAAAAAATACATATAAGTACTTCTTAATGATTATCACATAAAGTAACTTTTCTCCCATAATTCATTTTCATTTCACTCTACAAAAAAAAAAAAAAAAAAAAGTACATAAATTTAACAAATGTTTCAAGTCAATCTGAAGTTAGAATTTCCAGTTTTTGTCTGACATAAATATTTTGATGTTAACATCTACTTACAAATGCTTGGAAAGGAATGATTACTATAAATAATATTTATCAACATAATTAAAAGCATTGTATAGTACCTTACAAAGCAAGTCACTACTTGAAATAAAGAGAGAGAGAGAGAGAGAGAGAGAGAGAGAGAGACACCAACAGTTGAAAGCAAAAGTACAACTAGAAGCTTTTTGATTAGAAAGGCCTCAAAAAACTATAACTTTAATCAATCCATTTTGCCACTCTCCCTGTGTCTTCTTTACAGTATGATTTTCTAATATTATAGTTACCCAACAGTTTACTGCCTCTCTGTCAACCACAGCAGGTATAAAAATCACCATATATAAGGTTATATTAAGTCGGCCAACAATTTGGTAATACAATTTGGTAATCTTACCTTGGTAAGACCAAGGTAATACAGGGTACCGCACTGACACCTTTTGATAACATGATTTTTGTTTAAGAATTTGTGCTTGCCACACATCAGCTGAAACTGTGACAATTCTAATCCATTATTTACTTTATATGTTGGGTCTGAAATTAATACAGCACAATTCAACTTAAATGTGGTACTTCGATACCACTGGATGCTACATTGTTTGATTTAAAACCCTGGTTTATTTATCACTTAACTAAAATTCACGAATGATATACTCAAATCACACCTGTGGATTTCTTGGACTGTTCCTTGGACTCACATACTGACAACCACAGGAATGTTATAAAAAAAAATACCTACAAAAAAAAAGAATTATACATTGCGATTTTTTTTTTTTAAATTACTAATTGCGTGCAAAACTAACTCAGCACAATTTCAAAACAATTAAAAGATAAATGAGGTTGCTTCTGAAGGCCATAGCTTTGGTGACAACTTAGAACCAAACTTGAGATCTGTAGTTGATTCAGACCTAAACAGTTTGTCAAGCCTGAGCTCCCAGTTATTTGCAGGGCTTTATGGCTACAGCGTATTCTTCACTCATTGCACACATGACAGACACCTAGAAGAAAAAATGCAAGCAAAAGTTCTTCAGAAGGCAAGACATATATAAGATATATTTAATTAATTATATACTGTATATTCCTGGATATTTATACATATTAACTTTGGAAAGAGGTATCCCAAGATCAAATAATCTCCTTCCTTTATAGTTCCCAAAGAGAAATTTCTCAAATTGTGGTTTTTAGACAACTTCCAGGGAACAGGGAGAATAAGAGCTATAAATGTTTCAATACTTATTAGATGTTATGTATTCCAATAACATTCTTTCTAATACTAAAAAAAAATAGCTCAGATATTGATCTTCAAAACAAATTTGAGAGGGTCAATGTATATATAGCAAAAGTTTAAGTCTGATAATGGTTCTTTAAGGATATTATAGGAAAACTGCTTTATAGACATCATTTTCAATATATTGGCAGTAAACACTACCTTCATGTAAGTATTTTATGCAAACTAGATGAAGCCAAATTTTTATAAAATAGTTTTAAAAAGTAATCCTCCCATAGGTCTTTACCTGTACATCTTCACCTGCATTGTATTTTCCTTCTATTTCTTTGCCTAGTTCCCCTTCTGGCAGCTTTAGATCCTCACGAACTTCACCAGTTTCTGTCAGCAGGGAAAGGTAACCATCCTGAATGCATATCAGCTATTGAAAGGAATTGTATTTGCACTGATGAGATTATATTCACTCCTTTGTAATATTTACATAGTTAAGTTACAATCCACATTAATTAGTATAAGTACACAGTAATACATTAATATATTCTTCATGCTTAAAAAAATGTTAAGACACATAAAACTAAAAAATATGTACAGACTAAAAGTGTAAATTCATTCCTCCCTGAACTTCCCCTGTGCCCAAGTCTCTGCATTATCAAATAGTTTAGGCTTTTTTAATAATGTATCCTGAAGCATTTACATTTATGTACACACTAGAAATACAATTATTTAAAGAAACATAAATAGTACAAGTATTTTTCAGCAAGTTATTTTCACTTAATAACATATCTTAGAACTCTTTCCTAATTGGAAAATATGGACCTACCTTAGTCCCTTTAACCACTTTACAGCTGCATAGATATATTGTCACTGATTTAATCATTTTCCCATTGATGGCCATGAAAGTTTTTCACAATTACAAACAATGTGTATTTTAGTTTGATTATGAACAAAATGGAAAAATTTTAGTCTCCAACTCTCTGCTTAATACCACCAAATTTTTAAAGTAAGACAAACACCAGCTGAAACTGGTTTGGCTCAATGGATAGAGCGTTGGCTTAGGACTGAAGGGTCCCAGGTTCGATTCTGATCAAGGGCATGTACCTTGGTTGCGGGCATATCCCCAGTGGGGGGTGTGCAAGAGGCAGCTGATCGATGACTCTCTCTCATTGATGTTTCTAACTCTCTAGCTCTCTCCCTTCCTATCTGTACAAAATTAATAAAATAAAATAAAAATAAATTTAAAAAAAGAAAAAAAAAAAAGAAAAGAAAAACAAACACCGGCTGTTGATAACAAAATGAAACAAACTCAGGTATCAACCTAATTTGCAAGAAGCCACAGTTTTGATATAATTGAACTAGTGGCCTGGTGCATGAAATTTGTGCACGGGGGTGTCCCTCAGCCCGGCCTGTATCCTCTCCAATCTGGGACATCCTCTCGCAATCTGGGACCACTGGCTCCTCACCACTCACCTGCGTGCCTGCCTGCCCCCAACTGCCCGGCCCCCACTGGCCTTCTTGCCCCCAACTTTCTCCACCTTGCTGGCCTGCTTGCCCCCAACTGCACCCCCTGCCAGCCTGATGGCTCCTAATTGCCCCCATCCTGTTGGCCTGCTCCCCCCCCCCCCCCCCCCCGCCTCTGCCTGCCTACCCTGCCAGGGCTCTGTGATCAATGATGCAGAGGGAGGTCCTGCCCACCTTGCTGGGGCTCTGAGATGAATGGCAGAGCAGAGGCAGGCATTTCCCACCAGGCCTGGCTCTGTGATCAATGGTAGAGCAGAGGGAGGCCTTCCCACCAGGCCTGGGCTCACCATCGATCCCCGCCCACATGGAGGCCCTGGCCACCCTGCTGGGGCCTGGGATCAATGGCAGAGCAGAGGCAGGTGTTTCCCATCCGGCCTGTGCTCCACCATTAATCACCGGACCGTCATCGTTGTCAGAAAGGTCTCTCAGTCTAATTAACATATTACCCTTTTATTAGTATAGATTTCTTTTATTATAGGCATGAAGAAACAGCCAGGCTATATTCATTATTCTAAAAGCATGTACTGGTATACCATGAGTGTGCTTAGAACTCTTAACAGGATTTTACAGAAGGCAATCACCCTCAATACTAGATGTTACATTAAAGATGTGGTTGTGGCCGAAACCTGTTTGGCTCAGTGGATAGAGCGTAGGCCTATGGATCAAAAGGTCCTGGGTTCGATTCCGGTCTGGGGCATGTACTTTGGTTGCGGGCACATCCCCAGTAAGGGGTGTGCAAGAGACAGCTGATCTATGATTCTCTCTCATCGATGTTTCTGACTCTCTATCCCTCTCCCTTACTCTCTGTAAAAAATCAAATTAATATATTTAAAAATAAATAAAATAAAGACATGGTTGTGGACCCCTTTCACTACTGTAACACATCACACTGTAGGGGTAGAGTTTCAAACCGCTCCTCTATGGCAGTACCAAAGCTGGCTATGACTTTCTACACTAACCCCAAAGACCGCAGGAGTTATCAGTTTTACACATGTTTAAAATCTCAAAAACAAAATCAAAACCTAAACATCTTCCAAAGCAACCACAAACACTTTTAATTAATTTTTATGTCCTTCAAACATTTCGTTGACAGAGGAGCAGGGAATAAGGAGGTTGAGGTAGAAGTATAATTTTTAAACAATTAATTATAGGCTTATAAGGCAGATAGATCTTTTATATTTTCATTCTTTTAGCAATTCACTGAAGTGGAAACTGTCGATTTAAAGATTTAAAGATTCCCACTGCTATTAGTGATTGAAATATAGAAGCCTAATAATAATACTGGCATTTTGATATTTATATAATGGTTGTACTTTATTTTTTGCCAACAATTCATAAAATGCTAGGATGAAAAATAAAGTATTTCAAATATAAAATTATATAAACACAAGACAAAATGTAAAAATGTATTTATATAGTAAACATCTTATTAAAATAAACTGCTTTATGAAATACAATTAAAAACAAGAAAACAGCTATAGAAAAAATAAAATTAAATAATGAAAAGGAATTATTTTATCTTTCTTATATAAATTATTTAAATTTTAAAAAATGTGTTTTTATTGATTTCAGAGAGGAAAGAAGAGGGATAGAGAGAAACATCAATGATGAGAGAGAATCGTTGATCAGCTGCCTCCTCCATGCCTCCCACTGGGGATGGAGCCCACCATCTGGGTATGTGCCATGACTGGGAATCGAGCCATCACAGATTCATAGGTCAGTGCTCAACCACGGAGCCACACCAATTGGACTAAAACTTTTTAATATACAGAAAAGTTAGAAAATCACATAAATTTACCTAAATTCATCCATTGTTAACATTTAACCACACATTCATTTTTCTCTGTATATATAGAGTATACAAAATCAATATTACACATTCCTATTCTTTTCTTACTTTTACTGAAACATTTGAGAATATGTTCCACACAGGACTCTTTAGCAATAAATACTTCACAGTGTTTCTCCTAAGAACAAGGACATACTCTTCTTATATAATCAGTTTAATCTTCAAAATCCAGAAAGTCAACATTGCTAAAATATTATTCAATATATATAGCCAACAGTCAAATTTGCCAATTGTCCCAATATTGTCTTTGATAGACATTTTTCCTCCCAACTCTAGGATCCTATCAGCTCAGTCTCCTTGAAATTCAACAATTCCTTACCCTTATCTTTTCTGACATTGATGTTTTTGGAGAGCACAGAGTCACTGAATTATAGAATGTTCCTAATTTTGGGTTTGCTTCCTCATGATTCAGGTAATGCATTTTTGGAAGGAATACTACATAAATGATGTGTAGTAGAAGATCACATCAGAAGGCAGATGATTTCAATTTGTGCTATTACCCTGTTTCCCCGAAAATAAGACAGTGTCTTATATTAATTTTTGCTCCCAAAGATGTGCTAGGTCTTATTTTCAGGGGATGTCTTATTTTTCCATGAAGAAGAATACAGTACACATTTATTGTTAAATGAAAATAAAGGAAATTTATTACCTGTATACGGTATGATAGTATGGTAGTTGTCAACACAAACCAGACAAACTGTGAATCCTACAGTATCAAGAATTTACTCATTTATTCAATGACAATCATGTCATATCTTCTGGAACATCATCATAACAATCCAATTCCTGAGTTTCCTGTGAATTTCTTGTGACTCCATTTCTTTCAGAATCAGTGGACCAAATCTCTCATGTTTAGACTGGGAGGGAGCTTATTTTCAGGGGATGCCTTATATTTCACTCAGAAGGAACCCTGTAAGAAGGTCTTATTTTTGGAGAATGTCTTATTTTTGGGGAAACACGTACTTGTGAGATTAACTATGATCACTTGGCTAAAGGAGTAGCTGCCAGATTTTTCCACTCTAAAGATAGAATTTCCCTTTAAAAAAAAAAATTTGCAATAACAACAACAAAAAGATAAGGGTGTCAAGTTGAGTTTTAAGCATATTTTTGTGCAATTTTCCCCCATCTTCTCTCAAAGTCCTCTCTGATGCTGTAGAGTTGGAAGGATAGTGAGGAGGCAGTTATAAGTCAATTCTAAATATTTCCTTCCACCTTTAAACAAATATACTCATGTGATAAATTTAAAATGTTTTGAATCACTTTTTGGAGTGGGGTAGAAAGAGTATATAATTATTTGTTATTAGCAAGATGGGAGAGAATAGGGTCATAAAACTTGTAATAGTGGTGTATCAAGCTGCTAACAAATGAAATATGTCCTCAAAATACTGGTACCAGCATTTGTTTTTATTTTTCTTAAAATAATCTAATGCATGGGGCAATTTCTCTCCATAGGGTGCGTTAGAAAAATGAATAATACCAGGTCCTGAGCGGGAAGTCTACAAGATGAACCTGGAGCCGCCATTTACACTAGAAAGCATGGTGCTGCCAAAGACCACTAGGCCTATATTACAGGGACTCTCTGAAGCTTACCTGAATAAGAGCCCCCTGGCCAAAGATAGAATAGTTTGAGAACTGATAAGGATAATAACTACAAGGAATTTAAATACAAATATGTTTAAAGTTCATAGTGAAAAACACATTTGATTGATTATATTCATTTTGAAAACCAATAATTAAAGGAAAAGAACCAAGTATTTAAACTGCCTTCCCTATTATATACTGTACCATAGGGTAAACAAACAACAAAAATTGATTAAGAGAAGTTTCTCTTTATAGAGTGCTATGGCAGAAAAAAAAAAAAAAAAAAAGACAACAAAGTCAGGAAACAATTATTCTGCGAAGGAAAAGAGCCACATGCTAACCTGACAAGCACAGGGGAGGCCTGCGTGGCAGTCTTGCAAACTTAGAGACCTAAAATAACCACAAAAGATGGTTTGAAAATTAAATATCTAACTATAAACAGGTTATAGTGGCAGTCACGGTCTAGATATTTTCCCAAAGATCAACTTCAATCTTTTTACTGAGCCCATTTGTCTTTTAGCCTCTAAGATAACATATCTATGAGATGTCTGGGTAACTTGTAACTTCCCTTTTTCTGGAGCCCCTGGGGCACAACCAAATGTGGTGAGCGCCAGGACAGATGCCTCAAATTCCTTCCTTATCATGTTAACTGTTCCTGCACTCACCTGAGTATAGGTCCATCATTTTACTTTTTATCCAATCCCAGGAGTTTCCCACCACTTTGCTTTCTCCCGCCTCCTTACTCCATAACCAATGAATTTCATGTAACCCACCTATGTCCCTCCTTTGATTTCAGTGTATAAATAGTGAAATGTAACCCGCCATTCTTTAGAGCATTATCTCAATCCAATGAGGTTTTGCTTCCGGGCATATGTTGGCTCAAATAAATTCACAAAAGTTCTTTACAGGTTTCAATGTTTTTTTCGTTAACATTTCATTCTGAACTTATTTAAAAATATATAAAGTTAAAACTATAAATATTAATATATTTCTTTTCCTAAACAAATGTTTACTTTTTTACTTATTATAATGAATATATATACACACACATATATGTATTTCACCTTAGCTGACTGCCAAATTCCGCTTAAAATACCAAATAAAGCAAATAAAAAGGACTACATGTAGCTAAATAAAAGTAGACATTTAATCAAGGCATTTGGATAGCACAATAACTATAATTGGAAAGGCTTACAGAATTAATTTTTTTTAATGAAAAGAAATATTCTACAGTGACTTGATAAAGAAAGATGTGATCAGAGTACATATTCTGCAAGGCACTATTCTAAGTATTGACTAATTAAACATCACAGCAATCCCATGAGGAGTTCATTATTCTTATTCCCATTTTATAAATAAAGGAAGGCAAGAGGTTAAGTAACTTGCCAACCAATGTCACACGGTAAGTGCCAAAGCAAGGATTTGTCTGGCTTGAGTCATTCTCTTATCCAAGCTACATACCAAAGGCTAGGACTAGAGTGAGGCAAGTGAGGCACTTGTCTTGGGTGCAAAATTTAAGGTGGTGCCAAAAAGAAATATCAGTGATCAGATAAATATTTTAACGTGGTAGCTTTTTTGTTTGTTTTTTAAATATATTTTTATTGATTTCAGAGAGGAAGGGAGAGAGAGAGATAGAAACATTGATTGGCTGCCTCCTGCATGACCTCCAGTGGGGTTAAACCCGCAACCAGGGCTTGTGACTTGACTGGGAATTGAACCATAACCTCCTGGTTCATAGGTCGATGATTAACCACTGAGCTACACTAGTTGGGCTAATGTTATGTTTTTAAAAATATATTTTTATTGATTTTAGAGAGGAAGGGAGAGGAAGAGAGATAGATACATCAATGACAGATCGACTGCCTTCTGCACTAGGAATGCCTCACACTAGGAATTCAGCCTGCAACCTGGGCATGTACCCTGACCAGGAATCAAAACTAATCAACGCTCAACCACTGAGCCATGCCAGTTGGGCAATGCGGTGCTTTTATAAATTAGAATTAGTGCAAAAAATTCCAAGATGAACAGAATACCAAAATTAAAAAAAAAGAACACCAGTCCAATATTAATGATTTTACCTTTTGCTTTAGGCTCCAGTGTGTCTTGACATTATTGCTTGTCCTATCTTTATTTAAATTTTGTGCTTTAGGGAAGGGATTCACTCACCTCATTCCCCTCATCCTAGTATGAATCCTGCTATAGCCCAAAATAAGACCTACACCAAATTTTTTCTTAATGTTAAATCTTGAGTTCCAATCAATGTCTGGCTCTTTTCATCACAGTAGAAATTATCTGAACTACTGATGCCATCTTTCTGAACTACTCAAAGGCAAAAGCCTTCTATGTTGAACGCATAGTAATGAATATAATGAATATCAAATAACCTAAGCACTCACATGTTAAAAATACAAATTAAAATCCACTGTTGGCAAAATTCTAAGCCTAGCCTTAGTTGGCACTATCCTCATCTCAATGAATAATTAGATATGCATTTAACAAATGTTTATTGAGCACCTATTATGTGTCTTAATTAGGTGCTTTAAGAAAAATGGAATGGTTCCATGAAATTTTTATATAGGAAAAGGGAGAGCAGAAAATAACTACTTTTGGGTGTATATCTCTTAGGTAATTATGGAATACAATTTCTAATTTAACCTTCACATTATCCCTCTTTTGTAGATGGGAAGACTAAAGCTCCAGAGGGGTTTCATAATTTATCCAAGGTCATCCAGTTAGAAAGCAGTACTGGATTCAAATCCAGACCTACCTGACCAAAAAAATAAACAACATAAAGAAAAGTACTATTATTATACAATAAATATATTGTCTTATTATAAATGAATAAGACAATTCAAAATTCTACAAAGCATCTAAAGCTACCTATAAAACACTTATGATAAGTGGGGAAATGTAAATATAAAGTTGCTTACTAGATTCAAACCATGTAAAAATATGTTGACATGTGGACAAAGAGTAAAAGGAAATCATTGGGTAATTGCAGTTGATAGTGACATTTAAAAAAAATTATATAATACAATGCTCTAGCCAGTTTGGCTCAGTGGATATAGCATCAGCTCAAGGACTAAAGAGTCTCCGGTTCAATCCTAGTCAAGGGCACATGCCTGGGTTGCAGGTTCAATCCCAGGCCCGGTTGGACAGAGGCAACCAATGAATGTATCTCTCTCACATTGATGTTTCTCTGTGTCTCTCCTCCTCCCTTCCACTCTCTTTAAATATCAATGGAAAAATATCCTTGGGTGAGGATTAACAACAACAATTATGCAATACAATAAAAGGTATAGAAAGAAAGCAGTTTAAACTGGATAAAACAAAATCTAAGTGTCACAGTGTGAACTTTTATTTCTCACTATATTTAATGAACAGAAAAGAGTTCTATATATGTTATGCTTGATAACAGAAATTGAAGACTTTCAAGAAAACTTTAGTTATGATTAACCTGAGCTTCCACATCCTATGAGGTTAGTGGTTTGGTTTCTAGCAATACTCCAAACAACAAATGCTATCATTAAACTTGACTTATCCAAATGTATAATTGGAACTAAAGCTTAAAGTTTATACCTGTAATTTAACACAAGGTCACAGCATGGTCACTGAATATAAATAAAACAACTATATATTTTTGTATTTTCTTCACCATATTCAGTGATTATGTATTTTATCCTTTATATTTAAGGATGTCAACTTATTTCCCTATTTAAGAATGCCAACTTCTGACTTACATTTCACTAATACACAAAGTTGGTTGGTGAAACATGCATTCCAATAATTTCTTGAAAATCTTAGGTCTGATAAGTGAAAAGAAATAAGACATTTGGGAGGGAGTTTCATAAATTTGGAATATTTTGCAAACAGAACAGTAATTTTACTAAAAATCAAACCTATTCAGTCACAATATACAATTACTTAGTCTGAGAAATAAGTTTTCAACTTTTTAAAAATGCAAGAAAGTTAAAATAGCAAACTAGCAATAATTCTAGATAAGGTATAACTATTAAATGGCACTATCCAATTTCTAGTATAAATGGTGCCTAATAATCCATTTGAAAAACCTCCAAAACTATTCCTGGTTTTTGATAAATTACAATTGATATTTACACCTGTGAGAAACAAGCAGCATTTTAAAGGAAATTGGGACTTACTTGGTAGTCATTTCTCTTAATATTTGGAACATCCATATTGTGAGTAGAAGGGCAAATATCTTCATATTTTTTGCCCGTGAAAATATCAATTCCAACAAGGTGAACCTGACAGAGAAGGGAGAACAGAAAACCTGTTTAAACTTTGCCGAGTATATCACTCATTACATACACAAGAGCACAATATCAACGCTGATTATGACAGATTCTTTCTCCTTCCAAGGTCATCTCATTTTACTATCTTAAAAAAAAAAAAAAAGATAGTAGACATAAAATTGAGAAGCAGTGAGCAACTAAATGGTATCATTATATACCAAGACCCAAATCATATGCAGTCCAGTCGTTAAATTAATAGAGGGCCTGTGAACTCAGGTTTTAGAATTATGTTGGAACTGGTTTTCTTATTTGTCAACTGAACAGATCGAAGCCCCTAGGAAAGTTTCAATTCCCAATTAATGAAATGTTATACGGGTCCAAGAAGGAAATGCTACTTTTCAGTATTCAAAGTAATAGCAGATCTCCCAGGAATTGTGGGAAGGGGGGGAAAAAAGAAGTGCTTATTACAAAGTTGTAAGTATAGAAGTCTCATGTGCTGTAATAGATGGAAAAAAAAAAAAAATCTCCACGCGAACACAGTCCTGGGAGGGCACCCACCTTGGCGTGACCGTGCTTTCCAGTTTTGGAAGTTGACATCTCCACTATTTTGCACGGCCGCCCCTTGAGCACCACGAAGCCGTTTTTGCGCAGGGCCGAGCACTGCATAGGGTACGTGCTGGAAGCCCCAGCATCGCCGGTGGTGAAATCGATTTCATCCGCCATGGGTGGGCTGGGGAGATGGTCGCTTTCCCCAGGAACTGCGCAAAAAAAAAAGTTTGCGTTTGCTTCTTTTATAACCACGGGCACGGGAACATCTCAGTTCGGATAGGTTAGGTGCCAAAGCATCGCAGATGTACCATTGTTTGCATGAACACAACCCCCACCCAAGAGCGGTGGACACTTTCTAACTCCGGCCTCTACAAACTTTTCCATCCACCGGTCGGGAGGTGGGTGGGAAGTCGCAGAGGAGCTCGCAGGCGTGGGGATGCCCCCCCTGGGCGCCCCACTCGCAGCAAAGCCCAGCCCGGCCGTCCCGCCGCGGGAGGGAGAACCCGGCGACCTTCCCGCACCGCGCCGCGCCGCCACCCGGCCCTCCGCCGCCGCCGCCGCCCTGATCGCCGCTGCGGGGACCCAGCCCAGGCCGCACGCCCCCGCGAACAACGGGGTTAAGATAACGGGACCCGACCGGCAGCGCCCAACCCTCCAGCATGGCACTCCGCCCCCGGACCCCGGCGCGGCAGCCCCTGCCTCTCCGGCGCCCCCTTGTCCGGGGGGCATCCCCAGCCCGGCCCAGCCCCACATGGGCCTTCGCTCAGGCGGGTCCCGCGCTCGCCTCGATTCCCCCATCTATCCTTCCTCCTTAGGACTCGGCTCCGGCCGCCTTTCCCCCCGCCTTGCTCCGGCCCCGGCCCCACCAGTTTTTCCCTTGTGGTCACCTTTCGGCAAAGAAAGAGCGCCTCTCCTCTGCGCACCGGCGCGGGCCCCCCCTACAGCTGCAGCGGAGGCAGCGGAGTCGGCCGCGGCAGTTCCAAGACACGGGGCGGGGCCGCCACACTTTCCACACCCCGGCCTCCCGCCCTTGCCCGCCCCCACCGCAGCCCCACTTCCGGGATAGGTCCGGCGCGTCACAAGCCCCGCCCCCTCGGGCTCCCATTGGCCGCAAGGTTCCCGAGGCCCCGCCCAGTCACGTGAAGCGCGCCCTGGCACCCCCACGTGCTGCGGATTAGTGCACTTCCGGCGTGAGGAGCACTTTCTGGAGGCCGGTGGCTGAGAGGGAAACTCGCCGGCCAGGATACTTGCTCCCCCAAAACTTTTAGGTTCATTGTGTTGGGGTTTCAGGCGAAGTCTACGGGAACCAAAACCACGTGCCGGGTGGACCCAGCCCTCCGGGGCGTGTCTGCTGTCACGTGACGGTTGTCCGGCCTCTAGAGGCGGTGAGCAAATTGAACCGAGTACCACGGGGATTGGGATTTCAAAGCTGGATTCAAACTTTGGCCCTCCTTGTTAGTCAAGCCCATGCTGTTCCTCAAAGAAGAGCCGAAATGCAGTGTTTTATTGCCCAGCTCAACCCTGTGGTTTCCTCCTGGGACCTCAGTCTCCCCTGATGGGTACCCCGCCGGAGTCAGGGGTCGGGACTCCTAAGACGTCCTTGAAGTAAAATGCGGCGGTGAAAGGGCCTCACTCACTCCTTCCTCCAGAGGCTGTTAGGAAGTTGAAGAAGTGAATGCTGCCTGATTCCTTCCACGTTGTCCAGAAAGGGGTTCTACCACACTGATTGCTTCTTTCTTCCTGGCGTCGGCATTCCGTGGAGAGGCATGTCCACACCTCTTTTGGTCAGTTGGGTTGCCCTTCAAAATCGACCTGGAGCCAATAGAGACCTATATCGGCTTAAGGACCAACGCTGTAAAAAGGGATGTGCTCCCCTTTTCACAACGCACCACATTTTCTTACCTTGGAGAAGGTGACCTCCACATTCCAGTTTATGTAGCCCTGTGATACTGCATTGCTCTCATGAATTGTCCCATTGCTCACATTTCTCTGTGGCTCTACAGGTATTTCACACATATCGTCTAACTTAACCTTTACAATAAGCAAGTGAACTTCTGTACAGAGATCAGCCTCTAGCTAATATAGAAAGAGCCAGATTAGAATCCTGGCTCATGGTTTCCCTCTTATACCACCTAACCTTTTCTTGTGTATTGTTACTAGAATGATTGCTAAAGTGTAAAGAGTATGTAAGCAGGAGATATATTAGGCGTTTTATGTGTAGTATTCCTTTAATCTTGACCTTGATTGTTACTGTCTAAACCTCAGATTTAGTAAGTTATAATTTATAGGAAGTAAAATGTACCTTTTTAAATTATGAGTTTTGAAGAACATAGGCGTTCTTCAAAGAACATAGGCGTTATTACCACTATAATCCAAATACAGAATATTGACCTCATTCTAAAAGTTTCCTCCTGCCTTTTTGGTCAGTCCCCTCCCCACAACCCAGCCCCTGGTAATTATTCACAACTATTCTTTGATCTACATTTTTAGTTGTGGAAAATAGCAGAGAAAAGGTAATTTCCCCAAATCACACAGCTAGCTAGTCAGAAAGCCAAGATTGACACTTTGGCTCTGCAGTCACTGCTTTAACTACCACCATTTACTACATTCATGTAAGATTTGGATATGAAATCAAATGATCTGGAAATATAGTCAATTTTAGTGAAATGACTGGAACGCTAAATCAATAAATACTGAACAATTGCTCCTAGGGGAAATATAGATTTAGGTTCTTGTGAACCTCTTGTAACAATGTTTTCACCAACTGATCAATATATAATCTTGTTTCATGTGTGTTTCTAAAAACCTTATTTAATCTATATCTATATCTATATCTATATCTATATCTATATCTATATCTATATCTATATCTATATCATCTATATCTATATCTATATCTATCTATAAATGAACATTTAACTCATAGCCAACAGCACTATAATTCCTGCCCAAAGGAGGCTTATCTAATATATGCATTTTCTCTGTAAGAAACATCACAGCCTTCTTGTGCTTATAAACACTGGACAGCAATACAGCACTATGGGGGCCATTTTATTTATTTACTTATATTTTTAAAAATATATTTTTATTGATTTCAGAGAGGAAAAGGGAGGAAGTGAGAGATAGAAACATCAATAATAAAAGAGAATCATTGTCTGCTGCCTCCTGCATGCCCCACACTGCGGATCAAACCTAGGCATATGCCTTGACTCAGAATCAAACCATGACCTCCTGGTTCATGGGGTGATGTTCAACCACTAAGCCATGACAGCCAGGCCATGGGAGCCATTTTAAACAGCCAAGTCATGAACAAAAGTGAAAAAAAATATATGAAAAAGTGTCACTGAAATACTTTACTGTTTGACAACTGAAACAAGAAAGCAGAGCATCACCTTGTTTGACTTCAGCCAGGAAAATGTGTGATGCAAATTTTTCACTGCTCTGTGCATGACCATGAATGACGGCCAAAGCAGCTAAAGTATTGATTTTGAGGTTGCAAATAACTTTAGCGAGTAGGGAAATTCACAAATATGGAATCAATGAATAATGAGAATTGACCTTTTTTTTGTAATCCTCATTGAGGACATGTTCATTGATTTTAGAGAGAGAGGAAGGGAAAGAGAGACAAACAATGATGTGAGAATATGGATTGATTGTCTCCTGTATGTGTTCCCCAGCAGAGGATGGAAATATCCCAAGCCTATGCCATGACCAGAAGTCAAACCTACAATCCTTTTGGTGTACTGTACAATGCTCCATTCAACTGGGCCAGTATGAGGATTGACTGTATTTTAATATTGAAATGACCATATTTACTAAGACAGCCTCTTGTTTATTAGTATAAGATAGCCTTTTGTTTATTAGGTCCCTGTAGTCTAGTGCAGAATACAATCCAGCAGTTTTAACTGATATAATAAATGCTACTAATGAAATAACTATAGGATACTGTAGGGGGCTCCTCATCTAATCTAGGTGTTGTCCAATTGAAATATAATTCAAGCCACATGTAATTTTGAGATTTATTGTAACCACATTAAAAACCATCATAAATCGCTCCCAGGGCAATGGAAACTAAAAAGAAAATAAACAAATGGGATTATATCAAAATAAAAAGCTTTTGCACAGCAAAAGAAACCATCAACAAAATAATAAAGCCTACTGCATGGGAGAACATATTTGCCAATGTTATCACCGACAAGGGTTTAATCTCCAACATTTACAGGGAACTCATACATCTTAACAAAAGGAAGATAAACCCAATCAGAAAATGAGCAATGGACCTAAATAGATACTTTTCGAAAGAAGACAGAAGGAAGGCCAAGAGACATATGAAAACATGATCAAAATCACTAATTATCTGAGAGATGCAAATAAAAACTATAATGCAGTACCATCTCACACCTGTCTGAATAGCTATCATTAACAAATCAACAAACGACAAGGGATGGCTAGGATGTGGAGAGAAAAAGGTACCTCATTCACTGCTTGTGGGAATGCAGACTGGTACAATCACTGTGGAGAACAGTATGGCATTTCCTCAAAAAACTAAAAATGGAACTCCCATTTGATCCAGTGATCCCACTTCTAGGAATATATCCCAATAAACTAGATACACGACTCAGAAGGATATATGCACCCCTATGATCATAGCAGTACAATTTACAATAGCTAAGATTTGGAAATAGCCTAAGTGTTCATCAGAAGATGAGTGGATTAAAAACTATGGTACAGCCAAAACCGGTTTGGCTCAGTGGATAGAGCGTCAGCCTGTGGACTGAAGGGTCCCGGGTTCGATTCCCGTCAAGGGCATGTACCTTGGTTTCAGGCACTTCCCAAGTGGGGGTTGTGCAGGAAGCAGCTGATGGATGTTTCTCTCTCATCGATATTTCTAACTATCTCTCTCCCTTCCTCTCTGTAAAAATTCAGTAAAATATATTTGAAAAAAAACAAAAATAAAAAACCATGGTACATCTACACAATGGAATACTATGCTGCAGTAAAAAAGAAGGAATTCTTACCATTTGCAACAGCATGGATAGAACAGGAGAGCATTATGCTAAGTGAAACAAGCCAGTTAGAGAAAGACAAATATCACATGATCTCACACATTTATGGAATATAATGAGCAACATAAACTGATGAACAAAAATAGATCCAGAGACAGGGAAGCATCG